GCTCCTTCGTGCTGAAATCCGGCATCACCTCCCCGATCTACCTCGACCTGCGCGCGCTCGTCTCGCACCCGCGCCTGCTCGCCGCCATCGCCGCCCTCCTCTCCTCCCTCCCGGCCACCCGCCCCTACGCCATCCTCTGCGGGGTGCCCTACACGGCGCTCCCCATCGCCTCCGTGCTCTCCGTCGACCGCGGCCTCCCCATGCTCATGCGCCGCAAGGAGGTCAAGACCCACGGCACCGCCAAGGCCATCGAGGGCGCCTTCCGCGCGGGGGACACGGTCCTCATCATCGAGGACCTCGTCACCAGCGGCGCCTCCGTGCTCGAGACCGCCGCGCCGCTCCGCGCCGAGGGGCTCGTCGTCGCCGACGCGTTCGTCGTCGTTGACCGCGAGCAGGGCGGCAGGGAGAACCTCGCGGCGAACGGGATCACGCTGCACTCGCTCATGACCCTCACCGAGGTGCTCGCCGTGCTGCTGAAGCACGGGAAGGTCACCGAGGAGAAGGCCGCCGAGGTGAAGCAGTTTTTAGATGCCAACAGGAAGGTCACCGTGCCAGGCGCCGCAAAGCCCAAGGTGGTCAGGAAGGGGTTCCCTGAGAGGGCGGCCTTGGCCAAGAACCCCATGGGGAAGAAGCTGTTCGAGGTGATGGAGGCCAAGCAGAGCAACCTCTGCGTCTCTGCGGATGTTGGCACAGCCAAGGAGCTCCTCGAGCTTGCCGAAAAGGTATACCGCAGTACGATTTGTTGTATATTGGTGTTAGTCAGTTGATGGGTTAGATTTAGGCACTTCTAAATGAGCAAGTTATATAATTATGCTTTCTGACATTGGCAGAATTGACCATTTCAGCAAGGTATGACAGTACAGTTTGTTGAGTATTTGTGTAGGCCAATTCTTGGGGCTAGATTTCAGCACCTTTGCTTCAGCAAGTTAAATTATCTTTTGGGATGGAATCCTAGAATAGACATGGCCATTTCCGGAATTTGTTAATTTAAGACAGGACTTGTGTTAGTTAGCAGAGTCTCCTGAATTAGGTAGGAAACATATCTATTAGGTGTGCGTGCATGACTGCAGTCCTTCAGGAGTGAATGCATTGACTTGTTGCACGACTGGTGACATCATAACAACATTTTCAGTTGCATTTTGTATGATGTTTTCTGCGCTTGGATGCTGCTGTGTAGTGACATCACCAGAACCTATCCTTAACACAGGGTTTAACCCATCTTTCTATAATTTTTATGCAGGTTGGCTCTGAGATTTGCATGCTGAAAACCCATGTCGATATCTTGTCAGATTTTACACCCGACTTTGGCGCCAAGCTTCGCTCGGTATGCTCTCTGATGATGCAATCCCGTCTTTTATTTGGAATGATAATAATGCTTCTCTCTCTCAGATGGTACCTTTGGATCTTTGTGTTTACTAGTAAAATGCCAGTGTCCGCAATAGTCTTCTCACTTCGTTTGTCAGTAATCTGATGTAGCATCTTCATGTCTACCAGAATGGAATTCCTTTCTCCATACTATTCTGTTAGGGAGCATGTTTGATTTGTGTATTTATTAGAGGTTCGTTTGTTTAATCCATTATTTACTGTTATTCTAATGTCCTCCATGTTTCTCTCATTTGGAAACAATCGACCTGTGACCACTATGATACCAAAGGCAGTTTACTCACTTTCTTAGATCTGGTTTTGTTTTATCTATTTATTTACTAGGACCTGAATTTGTATTATTAATTACTAGAGCTGTTTTCTACTATAACAATATATGTCAATCGCTGTCCAGGTTGCAAAAGTTATTATTCTACCTGGGACTTTTTAATGTCGCGTTCTTTATATAATGGATCTCTTTACTTTTTTTTAAAGATTGCTGAGAAGCGCAACTTTTTGATCTTCGAAGACCGCAAGTTTGCTGACATTGGCAACACAGTAACTATGCAATATGAAGGGTGAGAAAGGGCACTATAAACTATCTTCTCTTTCTGTTTGCATATATATGCAGTATGCTTAGAATTTCTTTTAACTTTATTTCAGAGGAATATTCCGCATATTGGAATGGGCTGATATTGTTAACGCCCATGTAATTCCTGGGCCTGGAATTGTTGATGGCTTGAAGCTTAAGGTATAGTACACTTTAAATGTCCTAAAAACAGTAAATATTATAAAGTTAATGTTGCAGCTTTGAATAGCTTGTGTGTTGTAGTGCTCGCTATAACTTATGTGTTGTGATATTGAAGGGTTTACCGAAAGGAAGAGGGCTACTTTTACTCGCTGAAATGAGCTCAGCTGGTAACCTTGCTCAAGGAGATTACACTGCAGCAGCTGTAAAGATTGCCGAGCAACATTCTGATTTTGTGATTGGATTTATATCAGTAAATCCCGCATCGTGGTCTGTGGCACCATCAAGCCCAGCGTTCATCCATGCCACCCCTGGAGTGCAGATGGTTTCTGGAGGAGATGCTCTTGGGCAACAGTACACCACTCCTTATTCTGTGAGTTCAACTCTTGTCATTACAAAGTGCTTTCTTCACATATGTTAATGCATTCAAGTTTCTGTAGAGCTTTTGACTTGGCAGTATTACTTCTGTATGTACCATGCTGCACCAGAATTTCGTTATTGTGCCATCTGCTGGTTAAATATAATAACTTGCAAAGCCTGAAAGTGACATTTGTCTTTGGATTATATGCTGGCCATATGTACCAATATCTGTCAGTTGTTGATAATTTTCTGGAAATAGTGTGTGCTGGTATGGAGTATTGTATGAGGTTGAGATAATCGAGAGTATGTTAGCTATCTTACTACAGTTGCATAACTATACTTTTTCTCATGCTCACGCGGATAACATTTTCCTTGGGAGAATGTTTAATATGCACCACATAGGTTGAGAACAAATGCTTTGTTTCCTGTTTGTTCTTCTCTACTGTTGCAGTCTGCCTGTTATCTGATGTTGCGTCTCACCTGCAACCTGGCTGTGTCCTCCTACAGGTGATAAACGACAGAGGCAGCGATATAATCATTGTGGGGCGCGGGATCATCAAGGCGAGCGACCCCGAGCAGACGGCCAGGGAGTACCGCGTCCAAGGGTGGCAGGCGTACCTGTCCAGCTTGTGAGGAAAGCTGCTGCTCAGACGCCTCTCTCGGTGTAAAACCCAAATGAAATGCGCTGGTGTTCGTGCCATCGACCGACCGATCAATGTAATAAGAGCGCCTCCTGTCGGCGCCGAGTGATTTCCCCCCTTGTGCCTGGTGTCGGCGGCACGCGTCGTCTTGGGGGAAATAACTTCGAAATCGCGGTAATAGAAACCAGAACGTTCCCATGGACACTGCCTGCTTGCTTGCTTGCTCCTTGTTGCTCATGCCCTGTGCCTCTTTGCTGCTTCGGTCTGCTCATGCTTGTGCTTTGGCTGTCTGCTGTTACGAGCTTCTTTGAGATCGAATCACTTCAGTTTTGAGCCAAATTGACTTTATAAGCTCCTGGAACATGTTGATTGCATCTGATAATTATGATCAACTCAAAAAAAAAATCTGATAATTATGAAGAACAAAGAGACACATTATATCAACAGGAAAAATAGCTATCTCAAAAAAAATAGTACAATAGGAAAACACAACCGGACACAAAATAAATAGTATAGTAGTAGAAAATAAAGTTACATTGAAATTTACCAATCTTCTTAATTAGACGCCGTCCATCGAAGAGTAAAAATTCCACTGGCAGTAAATGAAAGGGACACATGCAAACACCCTCGCCAACCAGGCTTTAAAGACCACAATAGCTACTCGCATTTGAAACAAAGACCACAATAGCTACTCGCATTTGAAACGAGATCTAGAAATCGGTGAAGAAACATCGGTTAAAGCATCACCCAATGCAGTACATGCTTCGTGACCACCGGTACAGAGAGTTGAAGAAACTTGATCATGCCACAGGACAACACGAAGGAAGATAGATCTCCTTGAAGCACAAACCAACTACCAATATCCGAAGAGAGCAAATGGATCTAGCGACGTAAACTCTCGCAGACCCTTCCTTGGTGTCGGATCTAACATCTTCTAGATAGGGAGAGGCCGCAGAGACCTTACTCCAACAATTCGCCCACGCCACCACCTTGTTGCTACCACCAGGGAAACAAAACATAAGAGAACAAAAAAAAAACCAAAACGGTCGGGTCCCTACTCCTCTTGTCGCCAACGATGCCACTTGACGGGAGAGAGAGGAAGGGGGCCTAGGCGGCGAGAGGACATGACTTTGGCCAAGCTGGGCCTATAGAAGCCTAAACCTACCAAGGGCCCAGAGGATCCTCCTTGGCTATTTCTGTATTTCTCGCCTATGGCGAGAGCTATGGTAGCCTCGCCTCCAC